TATCCTTACTTTACTAAAACAGGTACATTATTAAAATAAAATTAAAAACAAGTCAATAAGAAAATTCTACATTATTTAAATAAAATTAAGAATGGTTAATAACAAAAAAAAAAAACTAAACAGAATTGTAGGCAATATCAACAATAAATATTATTAATTCCTTTTACATTTAGGTCTCATTCCTGATACACTTATGTCTGTCTATTTGACATAGTTTACAATAATAATAATAATAATAATAATAATAATCATTTATTGTTCCATAAGCCTTACATTAGGTACAGGTTAGACTTATATTAAAGTAAGTACCAAGTATTACATGTTTCTTGGGGAAAGGCTGGTGCTTATAACGTACAGCCGCTGACTAAAATAGAATACTCTGAGCTTTAGCCAGCAGCTACAGTAGGTAGGTACAAAAAGACCGAATATGTACATCTAGAGGCTACTAACAGTACTTATGTGCTTGAATTTATGGTACTATACAATAGAGTGCCAGGATACAAGATACAAATTTTAATAACAAATTCCAGGAGTTAAATGTATAAAATACAGGAGTTAAATGTATATAATAATAAAATTTAATACGATACTAATACATTGGCAACGACATAATGCCTGTATATGTGTGATCATTTGAGCACTATGTGAATGTGCATAATAGTTTGTGAGTGTGTGTGAGTGGTGTATGTGTGTGTGTGGTGTGTGTAAGCGTGTGTGAGTATGCGGAACGAATGTTGGGGTTGGTTAGTGGTTGTTTTATTTTAATAGATGTGTGGAAAACAGCGGTTCACGCAACCTGTTGAAGGAGAGCTTCTGTTTCTTCGTAGTTAAGGTTTTGCAGCCAAGTTGATACTATGCTCTTACATCTGGTTTTGGGAAGAGAATGAATATTTAGTTTCCGGTGGATGGAGTTGTAAAGGAAAGGCCCAAGGAAACAGAAGAATCTATGGCTGAAGCTGGTGTGATAATGGCGGGATTCTGCGACCAAGTGGTTTCTTCGTATGTTATCAGTAGAGTATGGGGTTTTAGAGTGTTGTAGGAGAACAGTACATACAATGTACAACTGGCGTACTGTAAGGACTTCGCAATGTTGGTAGAGGGAATGTGTGGGGAAGAGTCTATGATTAAAAGTGCATACTTTAAGTAAAGCTCGCTGAGCTCGCTCCAGAACAATAAAGTGTGTTTTCACAGCACCACCCCAAGTGGTGATACAATAGGTCAGTACTGATTGGCATAGAGCAAGATAGACCATTTTGAGGATGGAAGGGTCAGCGACGTGTCGAAGGTGTTTGAAGACGAAGATTAATTTGCGTACTCTATTTGCAAGTAGACTAATATAAGCTTTAAAAGATAAATTACTGTCTAACTCAATTCCCAGGTACTTAACTTTATCCGTTTTCTCAAGTTGGGGGCAAAAACAGGGGACGTTGGAGCATTTGGGAGAGTGAGCAGTGATTACGTGTTTGGTAGGAATTGGAAGGTTACGGTTAATTATTGAAAATGTTATATATTTTGTTTTTGATGTATTGAGGGTGAGCATATTACAGTTTAACCATTTCATGACCCTATCTAACCCAAACTGTGCGGTAGAGAATACCTCATCCCATGTATCTCCAGAAAAGTACAGACCCGTGTCGTCTGCAAAAGCAGTTAGGTGACCTCCAGGAATAGGCAAATTGCACAGGTCGTTAACGTAGACGAGAAATAGGGTAGGTCCCACTATGCTTCCCTGGGGAACTCCGTAGCTGATGCAGAGGTCATCACTTATGTTATGATCTATGATAACTCGTTGGGTTCTGCCGGTGAGGTAACTTTGAAACAGAGAAAGTTGAGCACCGCGTATGCCAAGTGATTCTAATTTAGTCAGTAAAATTGGATGTGATACAGTGTCGAAGGCCTTTTTTAGATCAAGGAAAATTGCCAAACTTTTCTTTCTATTGTCAAGGTCTTGGACAATCGAGTTGGTAAAGTTAAGTACTGCTTGAGCAGTGGATCTTCCCACCCGGAAACCGTACTGGTTATCACTTAACAGGTCTTTGCTTTCTAGATAATTAGTCAGTCGGTTGTTGAGTAATCTTTCGAGTACCTTGGATAGGGCGGGTAGTACTGATATAGGGCGGTAGTTGTTAACCTCTTTATGATCTCCTGATTTGTATATCGGGTGAATAAGGCCTATTTTAAAAGATTTAGGAAACACACCTGTGGAGAACGACATGTTACATATATGAGTTAAGGGAGGAGCAATTAGGTAACTGTAGGCTTTAATTAGTTTTGTAGATATACCGTCCCATCCCACCGCACAGTCCTTTTTTAGCGACATAATTACACGAAGCACCTCCTGTTCATCGGTGGGTAGAAGAACAAATGAATGTGGGTTCGGGTTCGGGACAATAAACTTGGTAATTCGCTTTTAAGCACTATTTTCTAAAAAGTATTCTTTGAGTGAATAAAAAGCTTTGCTCTGTAGATAGCTCTTTAGATGGGCTACAAAGGCCTTATGTGTATCTTATGTTTTTATATTTATTGGATCGCATTATATATTATAATTACCATACAGTGAGGCCTTGAATGGTATATACCTAGCGTACTGAAAGAACGCTTCAACATGTGTAAACCTCTATTGTTACGCTTCAGAGTCTTTACAGGAGAGAAAAGATGACTGTATTTCTTTACAAATTTACTACACTCGAGAATATAAATTGAGGTTGGTGTCAAAATGTTGTGTTTAATAAAGAACGACTTACAAGAGGTTTGTGAGTCTAAATTAGCAAATATTCTTATACATTTCTTTTGAAGTAAGAATAAGTTGTCAATCTCAACGCAATTTCCCCATAAAACTATCCCGTACGAGAGCCTTGCGTGAATAAAGGCATAGTACGCAGATAGAGCTGTTTTAAAATCTGTAACCTTTTTGAGGTTGTACAACGCATAAATAAATGTAGACAATTTACCAGTTAAGTTTTGTACATGAGATTTCCAATTCATAGTTGAGTCTAATTCAATACCGAGTAGGGTCGCTGTAGTTTCTGTTTTAAGTTCTGTATTTTTATATTGATATTGTATATTTAAAGGTGATTTTTGGTACGGTCTAAACTGAATAAGTTTAGATTTTTTTATATTCAATTCCAAATTGTGAGAGTTTAGCCATTTTATAAGATTTTCTAGTGTCTTATCTATTTTGTCCTGTAATTCTTCCTCATTTACACAAGATAATATGATTGTAATATCGTCTGCAAATAAAGTGCAATGTTCTTCACATATTTTGGGCAGATCATTTAGATATATCAAGAACAAAATACAACCCAAAACGCTACCTTGCGGGATAGAGTTAATGATGTTTATTTTATCAGATTTTATGTTTGTAATAGTACCTGTTTTATAATTCAAGTGTTCAATTTCAATAACTTGTTCTCGTTTTGTCAAGTAACTAGTGAGCCATTTATGGGCTAAGCCTCTTATCCCTGCATCATACAATTTTTGCAAGAGTATTTTGTATTTGACTCTGTCATAAGCTTTACTTAAATCCAGTAATAATCCTATTGTATATTTTTTTATTATTTATTGTATTTAGAATTTTTTTACACATTTATAAACTGCCAAAGTTGTCGAATGATTTTCCGAAAGCCATTTTGATTACTATTATAAATAGGAATGAAACTATTTTTCCGGATTTAAATCGCGTATATATTTGTTTTTTCAAACAAACCGACGTTTCGGGCCCTTTACAGGTCCCATGGTCACGGTTGACAACCTAAGAACTCGATACTATTATAAATGTTGAATTTTTCAAAGAAATTACATCTTTGACGAAGTTGGTTCCTACCAATTTTCCTGTGCCAAGGTTCCTGCGCAATTGGGCGATAATTCGCTGGGTCTGTTTTCGTCGCCTTTTTTCGTCGTCATTGTAAAAAATACGTTATCTTTGCTAAGATCAAAGCCATAGTACAATGTTAATCTAGTTGCCAGTTCTTGGTCTGTTTGAATACGTGAAGGAATTAGACTTCCGGCGATGCGGTAAATAATCTACTAATAATGCGGTCTTATAACAATTGTAAGTGACATCATGGCATTTCCCTTTCATTTTCAAGCTAGCGTGCCGGTGCTGCATTCGACACGCGCAGTAGGGATTTGATGCTCGAATGGAGCTCACTGACAGTACGTGAAGGAGTGCGCTAGTTCTTATTTAAAATGCCAAAGATATTTTTCGTTTCATGTCAATTTGTTGCTGCTGATGTTGGCTTTTGTTTCTCCCAGTGTATTCTGAAAAAATCTATCGTCCATTAACATCTCCACTAGATTCTCATAGGGTTCTTGTTCTCTGGGTTCTGCATCATCATTTACATCTTATATATGAGGTACGGCTAGCCAATTAAGCATGATAGGTGGTATGGGGTACTCATTAGAGATTGACTCTCTAAAATCATACCGTACCGTACTTGGCTCAGTGCTAGAAAAGTTGATGCATTGTAAAACATAGGCTTGTATGTTTGCTACTATTGTTAAATAAAGTCTACTTATAACTTAGGACAAATAATACTGAAACCGTTCAGTGTGGCGCGTGGTTTTATTCATTTGTTGCAGAAATATCATATTTCTTTTGTTTGATGTAACTACTCCTCAGCGCCGGCGCTAGCCCATGTAAGTCCGGGTGCAATCAATACCCTGGCGCTCTCTAGAAGGCACGCGATCAAAATGGAGTATGTGATCGGAAACTCGGGTGCAAATGGTGCATTTATAAATGATGTTGGGAAGAAATAGCCAGCTTACTTCGCTTACGCCGCGAGCGACGCAGGCTGTTTGGAGGCGTCGCGAGGGGCGTTCGGCACTCCCTAATACCCTGCGTCGTAGATAAAGCCGGCACTGGTATTCCTAAGACATTGTCTAAATCAAAACATTTTAACTTTACTTTTCAAAAATAAAAAAGAAATACATACGCATACAAAGCTGCGTTTTTATAAGAATACTGAAATGGTGTTATTAAAGAAAACCAAATAAAAAACTTTTTAACGTTTTTGTAATAAAAAAAATGTTTATTTAAACATTTTAACACTGAAAGTGAAGCAACAGTATTGAGAATCATCGTCTTCGTTCCATAGTTTCACTTTTAGTGGAAACTTTTCCTGAAAATAAAAACATTTCTTTTATTGTACGTACGACACCCACCTAAGAGCAGTTAGTTACACACGGCGACTTTTAACGGCGGTGCAAACGCGCGATTACATCGCTACACTTGTGATTTATATGCGATTGCATCGATGCAATCGCGCGTTTGTATCGATGCAATCGCCTATAAATCGCAAGTGTAGCGATGCAATCGCGCGTTTCACGAACGCACGTTTACATCGGTGCCAAAAGTCGCCGTATGTAACCACTCTAAGCTTTAAAAGTCACTATTAAACGTTCCGAATTTAAAAATATTGTCTAGAGGTGTATATATTTAAGGGTTTGATAATTATACAGAAAAAAGGATTCGACCGGGAGCAAGAAAATCAATCAAATCCACCACTCTGTATACGGAATGCTCATCTCTCAGTTTTATCTCTTAGTCACTATTATGATGCTTGGTTTGTTCGTTCTTTCGGTGATAATTAGTGTTCAGATAATCGGATGCTTATTTACCTATTATTTGGATGCTCGCTTGCACAGAATGTACTTTTGTATCGTTAAAATCCAGCGGTATTGATGAAATTATTTTCATGTATAAATTTGAAGGAAAATGAACGTTTAAAATGTTATTTGTAATTTTATGCAATATTTAAATTAACTTTTGCTACAGAAAGTGCAATTGTAAAAACTTCGGATATCAAGAAAATAATATTAATCTCCATAATTTTTTGCCGAAGGAATCGTGTGGGATTTTAATTTGACACTTCTAGCTGTTCTATTATACTGTGATCTATCTGTCATATTCCTGGCCATCGTCAGACTTTTAAGATTTATACTGAGCCCAAATGTTATAGGTATTTAAAATGTAGAAATCCCGGTATTGATACCGGAAGAAGAAAAAATAAATTTTAAAATTCGCTTCCATACTTTGATAGTAATTCATGGGAAAAAATAAACTCAGCGGAGGCGAGGTGCAACCTTTGGCGCACTGCGTTTGTTCCACCTTCTGAGAATCACCTTCTCCTGGACACTGGAATTGCCATGACCAATCTGGAAGTCTTTATTTACGCTTAGGACCCAGGTTAGCCGGAGCAAGGACAATTTGATTTTTGGAAAAGTACTAAGCTCGATTGTTTGTGCGGTGCGATTCAAACAATGCTGCATCCCATATCGCCCTCCGCATGCCTTAACACCTGCAAGCTTGAGGATATAACTCTGTCGCGGTTGGCGTGGCCGTGTTCTGGGCCACAATTGTACAGTGTATGCTATCGATACGATAACAACAAACGAGCTTTAGGTATAAAAGCATCCGAATATCCGACCATTAGTATATGACCTGGATGCAAATGGCTCAAGACCGAAGAGAAGGATACCACTCGGCAGGGTGACTAAAGGCTGAAGAAGAGATAATTTCTTAATCGTTTGCAGTCCATAACTCCCCGGAGCATACAATAGTACGTCGTTATTCTTCAGCCTGTGTAATCAAGTTGGTACATAGATAAACGGGGGTGTGGCGGATTTGGTGTAGGTGCAAGGGCAACTCGACATTGCAGTTTGTATTAAAAGTGGATGGCCTATAAGGAACCATACGGAACTTACTGTGCCAAGAGTCTTTCCCAGAACAAAGTCCACGTCAAATAGTCTCCTGACGTTCGCCTCCATCGGACAGGTGAGCACGTCACACGCCTCCATTGGGATCTTCACGGTCTTATCAAAGAGACCCTTGTTGGTGTCATCGGCAAATAACGCTAACTTCAGTGTTTTAGCTGAGAATTCTGTAAAGTTTACCGTTATCTAGATACTAGCTTATTTCACTGGTTTGTTATTATTCAATAATAAAGATAGCATACAAAGATCGAGCAACTCGAGCAAAAATTCCTTCTATCTGACTGAATTTGAACCAGCTTCTGTTGCCACACTGGGGTCACAGCTCTTACCGACTGAGCTCCAGACCGAGTCAGCAGATCGTGCAAATTTTTCTCAGTACTTATTGCAGATCAATTTAAAAGGCTGCTTTGCCGTCAGCGCCGCCTATAAGAAATTGATGAAAGTTGCCACGTTGTCGCAACAGACGCTGGTTCGAATCTAGTCAGATTGAAGGAATTCTTCTTTGTCTTGTTCGATCTTTGATAAATAATACAACTGGAAATGTTGACAGAGAATTTCGGTATGTTGCGTAGTAGGTAATTACTTAATTAGCTCTAAAGACGACAGGGGCGTTCAAGTCTAAGTCTAAGATGATCTAAGTTCAAAGTAAACTAGCCCAATCATTTCGAGATAATTATAAAAGTTACATTGTTACGCTTTTAAATAAAGTTTTTATACACTTTAAACTTTAGCTTTGCATTGTACTAGCATTTTAAAATGGAAATACACACGTTTTACCTAACTTATCATTGTCAGTCAATAATGTCAGTTACCTTGCTTCTCAGCCCGTCACCACGTCCAGAGCAACCTGGCCGAAATGTCGGGAAAATAGGTAGGTGTGAAAATACCTATTAAATTGTTTAAACGCGTTTATTCCCGTTTTCAAATGTTAATATAGTATTTACGAGTATTTTTCTTCTTAGTTTTATATTACCGCTAACACATACAATACAAGTCCCAATGTTGGACACGGGTCTTATCTACGGACCATTATTATTATTTACCGTTAAAGCAAGTGATAATTAGAAAAACGAATGAGTCAGTGGTGTAGGCCGCTAGGTGGGTATCGAACTCAGGATCTTCGACTTAAAAGGCATGCGTTGCCCAATCAGGCTTGCATACAACATTGCTAAATTTAAAAAAAATCAGCTGCTTCGTAATCAATGGTATACTAATAGTATACCTACGCAACTTATGTTCGTGTGTATGTGTTATGTACGAAAAACAGCTGCTTATTTTTCAGATTTTAATACTTTAAAAACTTGCTTCATGTGTACTATCGAATAGGTTTAGTAGCAGACGAGGTCCTTGTGAAAGATTTCGTCCAGGAAAGCCTTCCCTATTTCTGCCGCCAAGCAGTAACGTGAGCATTATTGCGTTCCGGTTTTGAAGAGCAAGGGTGCTGGAGAAATTACAGGCACATGGGACTTGTCAACTTATGTCTCAGGGTGATGGTGCAGTGGCAGTGCCCCTAATATCTTTAAGATTTAAAGCTCTGAGTGGCACTGCAACTGTTACGAGTAGGCGTGTCGCTTATCAACTTGTCCCGTCACTTGGTACTATCAAAAAATATCTTTTTTTTCTACCGACAATATTAGAATTAATGATTTCATATTATCAGTACGAAAATGCTTCAAATTGAAATGCAATGTCAAAGGATAAGACGTTGCGTAAACGTCTTTTTTTTTTAGTAAAACGCATCAATAATGGCGTCGGTAATTTTCACTACATTTTGTAAAAGTAGCTGTACTTTATGAAAGTTTTGTGAAAACTACAGTCACTTTACAAAAATATTGATTTTCCGAAATTAGTATTAAGACAAAAGTTGTTCAAAGTCCATTTGTAGCTTACGAAAGTCGGCATATAAATTACTTTCAGTTGCCTACTAGAAACAAAAAATACTGTATTGACACTAGCGACATCTCTTATAAGGCGATAAGGTCCTAGCTCTGCACTTACGCGGAGTAAGATCCACAGTGATAGTGTATTGCTTGTTTCTCTTGAGAGTGCAGAAGGCGGGTCCTTCAGGACACGGATCTAGGATTACGCTATGTATTGAGCATTTCGTGTTGTCCTCTGTAAACATAATTATCTTAATATTATATCAAAGAACTGTAAGAAACAATGATTAAGAAACTCCAAGGGTTGCTATTAAATAATCACTATTATAATAATGAGATTGTAAACATGTCTTAGTGAATAAAAATTTTAATCATGCTCTTTCCCTAGCAATATCAGCGTTATTTGGTAAGGGCCCTGGGTACCTACCAGAGTTTACAGAGCGTTGCCACTAGCAATTACTTAAAATATTGTATCAAAATATGTAACCTGATTACAGTTGATATCATTATAATATTCATTAGTGTTTAATCACAACACTCATTTGTAAGACAGATTTCCCTAAGAATTATTAAGAAACTCCAAGGGTTGCTATTAAATCATCACTATTATAATAACGAGATTGTAAACATGTCCTATTGAATGAAAATTGAAATCATGCTCTTTCCCAATCAATAATAATAGTGTAATCAAAAAGTTACTTTTTCATGTGATTGCTAGGGAAGCTGTACAATTTGACATATAAGAGTGTGCAATATTCTAAGCGGTTGCTAGTGACAACTGTCACTTTAAATGATAAGTAGACTACAACTTCGCTTTGAACACAATTAATTCGTGTCGTGATAAAACGATGACGTTTGGTGCCAAAAATCGACACAAAAAATTGTCGATATATCACAGCTCTAGGACTTGAAAGGTTAATGACACCTTGGTGGGGATATATTGGACTTCTTCCACAAATCTTTACAAATATAAATCTTCAGTCAAATCTTTAGTAGCAGCATAGCTCCTTATTAAAGAGTTCGTCCAAGGAAGTACTGCTACCTTGCCTATTTCTGCCCCCAAACAATGTGAGCATTATCGCGTTCCGGTTTTGAAGGGTTAAAGGTCCTTGTAAAATTACAGGCATATGAGACTTGTCAACTTATGTCTCAGGGCAGGCGCAGTGGCAGTGTTCCTCAGATGTTTACGATTTAAAGCTGTGAGTGGTCCTACTAACACTAAGCACGTCTTGTTCGTCCTGTCACTTGATATCATAAGAAAAAAATGTCACAGTACATGCTCCACATTGTAATACATTTATGCAGAAAATACGTTGAAATTAGGTACGAAAATGTTAACTTACCTCCGATACAAAACTTTTTATTCAAATTCTCAGCGTTAGCAAAAGCCACAATTAAAATAAATACAAATTTATACATGTTGTGTTCTGTTCCGTTGCAGACGCAGCACTGACTGCGGGCCTTTTGTTCAAAACAAACACATTAATTATGAATAGTATTGTTCATAACAGTTCACACAACCGTTTATTGGAGTTGATAACATAATGACCATACGTTTCTGTACGAGTGTTTTATTCAATTTTGTAATAAAAGCAAGGAACCATTACATATTATGTATATCGCAAAACTTCCGTTAATTTATTATGACCCTGCCCGCCACAATGCCCGCATTGACACATTCAGTCGTGGGAACTGCTGCGAAAGTAAACGACGTTTGCTATCAAGTTCTGAAAAGAAAAATCAACTGTATCCGATTTACAGATGACGAGAGTTTTAAATGAATAAGGCTGTGTTTGATTGAATTAGTAGTTTTATGACAATCTTGGTAGGTTATAATTTAGGCGTAAAATGTGTAAAAGAACAGAATTCAAAGTATATGCGAGACGGCAATAGTCTAGCAGACTCAGTCTTGTTCTTGACCAAGTCTTGCAGGGTCGGACTTGGTCTTGGTCTTGCTAGAATTAGATGATACTTATATCGAACGAAATGACATAAATAATTATATTTAATATTTTTACTGGTATAATAATGATAATAATAGTAATGTACACCAGGTAAGCTAACCAATTACCTGGTCTCAAACTAGGAAATCCTGAGCAGCGTGATTGACTCCGGGGACATCACTTCCCTTCATTGCTATGCCCTTACAGGGTATCTTATAATAAGAACCTATACGCTGTTTAAGACTAAGTTGTAAACTCTGTAAGGGGCTATTGCTCTATATAAAATTTAAGGTGTTTGGGGAACTCAATTCAATTCAGTATACAATAACCACAATTAAAAAATTAAATAACTTAATTTTATTTTGGTTTACAAAATAATAAGTGCCTCGTTGATTGAATTATGAGTTATTTATATATGTTTCTTTTTTGAACTCTTAGAAAAATTACGTAGTTATATGTCACCTTTTAAATAAAGATTCGAAAAATTGTATTGCATGTATGTTCAGTAGTGATAATCTATTGTTTTTTCTTGTTTCTTCTTCCTGCTTTTAAGTATTCGGTATTCGGCAGAATAGCAAAAAAAACAGACCGAGTAAACCGAATACCGAATAAGCGTTGGAACTCTACGTCTAGTAATAATATTAATTTGTGTTTTACGTGCAGAACCCGCCTGAGTCGATATCATCGTTACATATTTCTGCAGTAAAGCAGCATTGGTGTGTCTCAGATTGAAGTGTAAAGGAGAATGAGCTGGAAGCTGGAATGCTGCTTTCTTAACACAGCAAACGTCTACAGACGGCTGGTACAGCTTTTTATGAAGTCCCTCGTTCTATGTGCCGGTTAGAATACCAGAAAAAAAAACTTGTAATAAAAATTAACGCCAATATTTATTAGTTAGGCATATAATATTCATTTAATATTTTTAGTTTACAAATATTTAGCGTACCCGGACACGAAACTTAAAGCAACACTGGTTGGATTCGTTGTTTATGTCGTATAATTTCCATTTTAGTTGATACGCGCCCTGAAAATATTAAGAAGTAAAAACTTTAGTAACAGTTACGCCATAAGGGGAAAACTAACAATAGGATGACAAGCAACAGGGATACAAACAGTAGTTGGTACAAATATAAATTATAACCGAGTAAATATAAACCGAATTCATCCCGTAATTTGCCACCATTAGTGGAATATTTTCTTCAAATTTGAATGGAGCCACTATTGGGGTAGGTACGTTCTTTCCAACTACAGACCTAGGGTAAATCTGTTTCTAATAAAAAAAAGAATCATCGTAATCCGTTCACAAATTTTGGAACATTTGTGTAACATACATACACACAAACAAAAGTACAGTACAATCGAATTGAGAACCACCTTATTTTTTGAAGTCGTTAAAAAGGGCCAACATCACAAGTTGTACCGACTTTACCGGTTTACACGAGTTAAGTAGCAATTGCCAAGAAATTTGTCGTGTAAGTATAGAAGTATAATTGATGATGATATATATATATATATATATTGATGCAACTTTGAATTTGTCAAAATCACCAAACAATGTATATATAGTACATATATATTGCTACTTCATTCGTGTTATTCAGTTATGAGAGACGTGTGGAAATATCATAAATATTATTTTACTTGGACAATAATATGCGCAAACTTGTCATCCAAATTTTGGTTTTAAACGTATGTTTAGAATTCAGACTTACAACTGGTTCTTTTTGTCCTATATGTAAAGAATATAAAAGGCTCTGGGTGACACCGTCTGCAGTGGGGCAGGTAGTAAATTTGCAGCCATCCTTGTCAAAACCCGGAAATTCAATTTCGCTCGTTGGTCCGTTGGTCCATACTATAATTGCCACTAAATTCTCGGCTACGAATTCTGTAAATAATTGATACAGCAATTTTTATACGTGATAAGTAGTCTCCCACAGTGGTGCTGGTGATGGTAGTTACTTGAATAACGCCGTCACTGATTGCCTATTCGCGTGAATATATCGATGCCTCCGATGAACACTACTTTTTTTTCCGGGGGAAAATCCGTCATGGATACCACCACGTCACGGGGACGCGCGGTGGTAATGTGAGACTCTTACTCACTAAAAACCCCCGGGTATTCCCACATCCCGCGTGTGACGGGACTGTGACCACGTGGCTTACGATCCACGGCCCTGTCTGCGGTTGTCCGCCACCGCGGACTCACCCCTGGGGGATCACCATTCCCCCTTCATCGTTAGTGGCATGCCGGGAATACTTGGCACACCAACCAACTTGTGAACCCTTATCTAATGGGTGACAAAAGTCCCCGTTTTTGAATCCCAGGGTTCACTCTCAGAGCGGCAGTTAGCGGGCATAAACCAGCCGCTTGCGCGCTTGTTGCAGCCGCTTGTTGCGGCGCATAGGATGAGAGGAAGGATCTTCCGCCGCTTCCTTCAGCAACATTACAGCAATGCAGAAAGACGCCAATTGAACACTGCTTTTTTTTTTTATTATTACCGTGAGGAAAATGCGTTACGCATTCCCCGCCGCTGGGCGATGTGGGACTCTCTCCTGGGGACTATGTCGATCCCCAAGAGCATACCCACTAAAAACGTCACGATGTTCCTGCGCACACCTGACGCCGGAGCCGCGAGGTCCCTTTCAGATGCTACCGCGACTTCGGTGGTGCTGGTCCGCTTTGGGCGGACCCCTACACCATCCCCCCCTAAATCATGGGGGGCTACCTGCACGGAGATGCCCCGGAACATTTGGGGTATCTACCGGCGGCGGAGGCCTGTGCAATGCAGGGGCAGGGTCTCCCAACCCCGCACCCTGCTGGCCTCCGCTGATGGGACGCAGGCGGTCTGCGAAGAGCCGTCGCGTGCGTCCTCTCCGCCGACGCCGAATGGGGTCCGAGAGGGAGGGACCCGTCCGGCTGTCTCCATCTGCGACATCATGTCCTCGCAGAAGGAGACCATCGCCTGCCATGAACTCTCGCTTCCCAACATGGCTTTAACTATGCTGGGCAGTGAGAGGTCTCGTCCCACCATCTCTACGAGATCCCGACGCTGCTGGCTCCAGGTCGGGACACCTCCAAGGTGTGCCTCGCCGAGTCTGTAGCAGCGCCGCACTCGTGACACTCCGGGGAATTGAACACTGCCTACGCCAACTTTATTTTTTTGTCTTTTTCTGTTATTTTTGTAAGCCATATTTATTTACTAATATTATGCTTCCCGAATTTTGTAAGAAAAGTAAAGAAATGAAAAATAAAATAGGAAAAAAACCAATCATAGAAATAAACCAAGAAAAGTTAGATCTTGCTAATTAAGCTCTCTTTTTGAGAGTGACCTTAGATAGTAAACTTCATTGGTTTCCACGTATATCTTATAATATTTTTTTTTTGCGCACAGGGTTCAATACGCGCTTTTCAATTTATTTTTTTTATGCTTTTCATTTAAATCATGCTGAAAAAGCACTTCGATATTTTTACTCGTTTAATGATTTTATTTGTATCTTCTGGGTACGGTGTTCTACTATTCAATCACATAATACTCACTTATTTACATTATTTATAGTACCGACGACAAAGTGACGCATAATCTGAGTGTATACTATCAAAATTGCAGAGGGATGCGAACTAAACTACAAACACTATACATGATTATTCTGTCGATCGATTTTGATATCATAATTATAACAGAACCTGGCTGATTTCCGAAATATTAGACAACAAATTTATAGACACTCTGGTCTATAAAGTTGTACATTGCTTTTCGCTGTGACAGAGATCGTAATGCTACTTCTAATAAAGATGGTGGGGGTGTCATGGTTGTTGTACTGCGCTCATTGAATCCCGTTTTTGCATCATCTTCGCCAACTGTCGGTGACTCTCAATACCTGGAACACATTCTAGTTTATATACCTAGCTCTAGCTCTGACCATAATAAAAGCACATGATTAGTGCCGCCTATATTGGTAATAACTCGCCTACTAAGGTCTATGAGATTGTTTTTAAGCAATTATTGATGACAATTAATGACCCCGACACGGACATGTTTTTTTTATTTGGAGACTATAATATACCGATGGCGAACTGGATTCGGGACACGCAAAACAATAGCCTTATTTGCACAGGTACTAATCCAACCTGTTTAAGTCTACGAGGCTTTATGACACTTTGTGCTGCTTCTCAATATAATTATTTGAAAAACTGTGATCACAGAACGCTAGATCTTTTGCTATCTAACACAAACTGCTCTGTTCTTCCGATTACTGTATCTTTGCTCATATTAGATGATTACCATCCCGCAATCAATGCAATTTTCCTGTTTTGTTCTCAAACTCATTCATACATATGCTCAAAAATAAAAAAAAGGTACTGGATTAAATGGAAGGTCTACAACAATAACTATGACTATTACATATACTCAATATACAGAGACAGATTTCAAAACGAATGCAACAAATGTTATAAAAAATACAAACATTCTGTGGAAGACAGTATAAAGAAAAACAAAAAGTTATTCTGGACGTATATAAATAATCGCAAAAAAACCTAGTTTACCAGCACATATGCATTACAAAGATCGGATTACTAACGATCCGAACGAAATTGGTAATCTGTTTCATTGTTCTTTAAACCCTTACATGAACTATCAACTTTTGACCCAACCTCGTGGATGCCTGGTAACCTGGTAACTTGCTGATAATAGCAATGTATTATGCAACGTATACCTCAGCACTGACAAAATTAATCGACAGTTACACTCTCTTGACGTTACGAAGGGACCTGGCCCAGATGGACTCCCACCAATCTTTATAAAGACAACAGCCAAATTTCTTGCATCTCCACTAAATATAATCTTTAATAAATGCCTAGCTGAAGGTGCATTTCCAGTTAAATGGAAGACCACTAATATAATTCCTGTCTATAAAAACGGCCCTTAACAAAACATTGAGAACTATAGGTCAATATCCATTCTTTGTACATTAGCCAAGATATTTGAAAAGTTAGTCCATGATGAGCTGTACCCGGTCTCGAGTTCCCTCATAATACCCGAACAGCACGGTTTCGTTAAGCGTAGATCAACTGTATCTAACTTACTATTATTCACTGGCTTCGTTTTTGAAAATATAGACAACGGCATCCAAGTAGACGCCGTATACACGGATTTTCAGAAAGCTTTTGATAAAATTGATCACAAACTATTACTTGATAAGCCATTAATTGTATACTAGGGAATTTACTCCGTTGGTTCTCATATTACGTCTGCAATAGGTCGCAGAGAGTCATTGTTAATGGATATCATTCAGACATAATCGACGTAACATCGGGTGTACCTCAGGGATCAATCTTAGGCCCGTTATATTATTTATTATATTTGTAAATGACATTAAATTTTGTTTTCGGCACACAAATTTTCTTTTGTATGTGGATGATTTAAAAATTTATAGAAGCATTACTAGTGATATTGACTGTACTTTACTTCAACGTGATCTAGATCATTTAACTCACTATTGTATCATAAATAAACTCAAGTTAAGTATTCCAAACTGTAAAAGTATTAGTTTCACGAAAAGGAAGATGAAAATTACATATATTTATAAACTTTGCAATAACACATTAACAGTAGTGAATTCCCTGCGAGACCTCGCTGTAATCTTAGATAATAAGTTACACCTACACATTGACTCCATCGTTGCCAAGTGGTTTCATATGTATAAATTTGTCATCAGAACTGCCAAGGACTTCTCTCGTCTATCAACTTATCTTTACTTATACATTGGTCTGATTCGACTTCAAGTGGAGTATGCACGCTCAATTTGGGACCCTCACTACAAGAAATACTCAGAACAAATTGAAAAAATTCAAGCTAAATTTCTTAAGTCGGTAAACAACAAAATATATAGAAGAAGTACACCACCATGCGAGAACTTAATATCTAAGTTTAGGATGCTAACACTTCACAATAGACGAATGCTTCTTCAAGCTGTAACACTCCATAGACTCTGTCACAATTTGATTGACTGTCCAGATCTTGTGCAAAATATTAAATACAATGTACCCACGAGAGTTCATCAACGTCGTACGCGCTCCTATCCGCTATTTAAAACGGCTAGCTGCCGAACAAATGCTGGCAAGCGAGTTCCCCTACGTCGCGTTGTTTCTCAGTACAATGATTTGTTAGTGTTATTGACATATTTCATTTACCTGCTTCTAAATTTAAAAAGCTATTATTGAAGCCCTGTTTTAACTTGTTTCAATTTTGCCTTACCCATCACACACGGCAATTTCAATTTCAACTTTATTAATAATATGTGGATAATGTTGTTGATTGCACGTGTAGTTATGTCACTTAACCTAATAAAATCTTCCTTGGTCAGCAGATTAAGTTCTGCTGCATACGCAGTCCGTAGAATACGTGAGCTTAACGATGGTGCTACTGCTAGACTACTTTACTTTAGTTACTTCCATAGTATAATGTCCTACAGGAATCTCATGTGGGGTAAAGCGGGAAATGTACAAGCCTATTTGTAATGCAAAAACGAACGATTCGTTTTGTGTACCGTTTAGACTCTTGGGTTTCTCTCATGATACCAGTCTCCTTAAATTTTAAGGAGACTGGTATCATGATTGTGGCATCACAGCACATTTACTCAAATATTTTGTATGCTCGTAAAAATATACATAATTTCATTAAAAAGGAGATATCTATAATATTAACCTTAGAACTAAGTCCAAACTCATGGTACCACGATATCGTTTAACTAAGGTAAACGATTCTATTATGGGAAATTGTATACATATAATGTAAGATTATCATTTCCTAACTTTAAAATATACTTTAAAAGTATTTTAATTGGAAAGTCATAAACAAAGTTGAACAGTATGTGTTAGATAAAGATGTATAGAAAGACAACATGTTTTGTTGAAAATTATTATCAGAACAAGGGTCTTCATTCTGGAGCACTTCCCAAAACACCCAGACCAGAACCAATTTAGAAAAGTTCATTGCCCAATTTGGTCCTACCGGGAATCACGGGACCTCCTCATCCAGCGCCCACATTATATTCGGCCACCAAAGTCAACAAGTTGTTAGCTTACTTTTTTTAAGACGCCAACAGGCAAGACGGAAACATCCTGTGCCTGGCGGTAAGCCTGACCGTAACAGTTGCATTGACAATCCGAGTTTTACATCATAAAAATGTGAGTGACACTGCGCCCGTCATCTTGAGACATAAGTTACCCCAGCACCCAGCAAAACCGAAACGCAGTAATGCTCACAGTAGGAGACAAGACTTCCCTGGACGAACTACTTACAAGAAACTCCACTTCTACTAAAACTGGTGGTGACTTTGACTTTTTGGAGTACACTGTTTTGTAGAGTGGGTTTTGTAAATATTAATTTTAGTGCTATGTATGGAGAAGTCCATAATTAAAGAATAAACAATTCTTCCGTGGAAACTGTAATGTTTACGTTAGAGATGGCTTATGTACTTACTAGGGGTAAAATCAAATTCGATACTAGCATTAAATTTTCTTTTAATGCTACACTCTTTCTTTGGCGTTGAACATGGGGTCATACGAATCTTTTCGATGATGCAATGCTCACTGCCCACTGAAAATAAGAAGTTAAAATTTAATAACGAAACATTCGAAAGTTATAGTTGAGGGAGAAATAGAAAAAAAAAATTAAATAATGTATGCAATTGCTCTGCCTGTCCCATTTCGACAAAACGAGGTCTCCCTCGTTATAAAGTGTGAAACTGTTTTCTCTATGCTTCTGCCTGTTGTAGGCAGGTAATAATTTTATTACATTATTAATATACATCTTTATTTTAGACAAAAGGATCCTTAAATTTGTTAGATACATCTTACTTAAGGACTACGTTAGTAAAGTTTTGGTCCTTGTCAGCGAATTTTATCTTTTACTAACAAGTATCCACTTAGTATGCACTTCCTTGGATGGAGTTGGTGCTAGCCCGTAGTCTCCAGAGCAGCGAGTCCGTCCTTTTGCGCATGATGGCGTAATAGCCATCTGTACGCGCATGCGCAAATATAGCAGATGTGATGGAGAAACGTTGTGTTGAACACGAAATTGAAACTATTAGTGAAGAACTTTTTCAGGTTTTAAAGTTTACGTCATTTGACTATGTTGGTGGAAAGAAAATAGATTGCCTTGGCTTTCTTTTTGTATAGGGTTATAATACTGAAATTGATCAATAAGAAATATTACAGCAGTGAGTTGTGGAGATACTACGATAAGAGCAATGTCCCTGTTCCTAAATGGAAGAGGAAAGAAAAATGTAGAGCTAACAAACAAGTTTTTATATTTTTATGATTCCTTTATGGAACCAGAAATAAGTTCCATTAGAGACTAATTAAAAGAACCGGATACTTACCACCGTCACAGTAATGTACATCTAGCTCCTCTCCATTGATCACAGTTAGTAAAGCACAAATAAAAATGACCACGCGCATTTTTGTTTTAAATTGTTAATTATACAAGTATGGACTATCCCGTGAGCTTTATTACGTACGGGGCTGTTGTGAACGATGGGCAGTTTCTACTTACATTTTTATATCGTCTTATCTACCTACGTCGCGCTATTTTGTGAGATTGGAAGAGGTAAGTCTCATTTATTATTTCTTGAGGATTTTTCTAATTTTCAGAATTTACTTAAAGACAGATTTGTTAAAGACTTATTAGTTAATAACAATCATTTGGCGTCAATGTTCATTATAATGTAAGTACGAAAAGGTTATAAATTAATTTTATTTTGTTTTTTGTTTTTTATTTTGTTTGCCTATTTATGTAAATAGGCAAACAAAATAGTCTAATTTGGATAAGAAAATATTTTTACGATTGAGTTTGCATTTAAAATGAGATAGTAATTAAATTATATACGCAAATAAATAACTTACCTTTCATTCTGCTGTCAGTATAGCCTATAAAGAGATTGAAAAATTGGTTTGTTTGAAAAGAAAAATAAACCTACGCTATTTTAAGTTCGGAAAAGATCATTTAAAGTCAATCACTCAGCTAAAAATCTTTCTTTTATTTGAAAATGAAAATTTATTTGCTTAAAATATGGTGAACAAAAGATGGAACACAGTAGAGATATAGAGCTCATATTTTACCACATTTGGCATGCAAAATTATACTTATAGTGATTGAATTAATTGATTAAATTACAAATAATGTCAGTAGACATGCACAAAACAGTTAAAGTTCTAATTTTATTTCAATACATAGTCAATATATATAATACATTACAAATCTCTTTCTTTTTTTTTACAAATTTTATAAATCTGAAGCTATATCTAGTAATGTAGCTATAGTTATTAATTATACATGTTACAAGTAGTTGTAAGCTATTGTCATAGCATGCAGAAGTAAAAATAAAAAATAATAATATAATTTATTTTATTTATTTATTTATTGTAAACATGTTTACACGGCATTACAGTTCCATAACCAATGCGCCGTGAAACCAAACTAATTAAAAAATAACAATAAAAAAATTTAAAAAAACCAAACACTGAAATAATAAATTAAACTATAGCGCTATACTTGACTCACTATCATCCATCGCTTCACAAAATCTCAGGCATTCACAACACACAGCCGCCCATCGCCATGCAAACAGATCACACTCCGGTGCTATAATAAATTCATGTCACTGTAGGTTAAATCAATTATATTTATAATCAAATTTGAACAGCTTTATATGAAAAGAAGTCTGTAATAGAGTAGAAATTTTTATCTCTCAGCCATGACATGAGCTTACGTTTAAATAAATGATTACTATTTATATCTTTTATATTAGAGGATAAAGTATTATATATTTTCACACACATGGCTCCACATTGTCTCTGGTAGTAACCTAATTTGGTACTACTGTGATTGACTAATCTGTCTGGGTATCTTACATTTCTGTTGTGAACGTCCCGTGTCCTTTTAAAAAGTTTATAATTATTTTTGACAAAAATAGACACCACAAAAATGTACATACAAGGCAGTGGTAGTATGTTAAGAGTTTTGAACAAAGGTATACACGATTCTCGGGGTCCACTCCCAAGCCACCTATTGCCCTTACACATTTTTTTTGTGCTACAAATTATTTATTTGCATCCGTCGAATTTCCCCATATTACAAGCCCATGTCGAAGCGTGAAGGCAACGTAGTCATGATAGGCATCAAAAGTAGTAGACATAGTGGAAGTGTCACGTAGTCTCCTTAGAACATAAACATAGCGATTTAGGTTACTAATTACTGACTCGATATGTCTCTTCCAATCAAACTTGTTATCAATTATAACACCTAGAAATTTAATATTTTAATTTAATTTAAACTTTTATTTCTACCCCTATTAAACATTTTCCGATCAGGGGCCTGTTGCTTGTGTTCTTGTCGTGAACTTTTTTTGTACAACATTCAAATTAGAAGTCGCTGGTCGTCATGAGATTTTAATGACTTTACATTTAGACATTATATTAATTAGATGTAAAATTAGTTATTTAAATTTTAGTAGGTTTTTCACAGATATTTCTGTTTTCTAATTTGTTGTTTCTTTTTCTGTAAGTAAAGTAATAAAATCTCTAAATAATCAGCAAATTTTTAAAGATCACTGTACAGAAGTACAGTTCCAACAGTGGAAATGGTACCACCAATACGGGGCCAACCGTCAATCTACGTGTCACAAAAGGAACGATGGTAACGTTAAATATAAAACTTAAATTGTAATACGATTATTTGAGGACAAATTCAAAAATATGCATTCATAGGCGACAAAGCATTTGAAACAATCCACTGTTACAGTTGCCCGTTTATTAGGTATATACGGTAGGTACGATACCAGTAAAAATGGAAGAAGTATAATTACAGAGGTAAGGCACATAAAAATTATGAATATATTTCAGCTTATACATGTGATATTACCCTGCAAAGTTACAATGGAATTTAAATACATTGCAAGCTTTAACGTAGTTAATTAGTTTAGATAATTAATTATATGATACATTTTATAATTATTAATAAACATAATTAGTACATAATATTTTTATGTTAAAATTAATTAAATTATTATTTATATAATTATTAAACATTTTTATTACTATGACATTTAATTTCATTTAATTTCTTGCACATCCTCATTTTAATAAACTTAGAACATACGTGATACCCTGTACATGAAATCAATTTCATGTCTATATGAAATTTCAAATATGTGTGATTTCAAATACATTTATCGCCAAAAAATGCAGACATATTATAATAGGTCTTTGTTTAGAAATTCTTTTAAACGTTTTTCAAAGACCGTATCTTTATCAAAATTTTTGATATAATTTGGGATTTGGTTATATACTTTTATTAATAAATAAATAGGGTGTGGTGCGCAAGAAAATAATTTTAGGCTAGAGGGAGGAAGTTTAAGCTTGTTATGGTAACGATTATTACGTCTTATTAATTTTAACGGAGAGTATAAATCTGCGTGTATTTAACGAACTTACAGGCTTCGAAAATGTATAGGCACGTTAGAGTCAGTATGTTAAGTTTTGTAAAATACGGTTTACAGGAGTCTGTTTGTTTTATGTTGGTTAATATTCTGATAATTTTTTTTTGTGGAACAAACATTTCTTGACAATACGGGCTGTTTCCCCATAGTATAATCCCAATGGCTAGTCGCGGGTGGGCAAACGCATAATAAGCTGCGAGGGCCTTTTTAGGTCAGTAACACGTTTCAGTTGTCTAAGAGCATATTTAAGTGAAGCTAAACAGCTAGATTTTTTGAATATAGGGTTTCCAATTTATGTGTGTATCTATTTCAATACCCAACATAGTTGCTGAATCTACCATTTCTAATTTGTTTGATTTATATATATAGTTGATATCCAAAGCAATTTTTTGGCGGGGTTTAAATTGAATTAATTTTGTTTTTTCTAAATCTAGTTATAGGTTATTTTGATCGAGCCATTCTGTGAGTGAATCCAATAACGCATCTAAGTTCTTCTGTAGTGAATTAGTACATGTGCAAGGCAAAACAACAGATACATCATCCGCAAACAGTATATTATCGAAAGGAATTGAGGAGGAAGGTCATTTACGTACACAAGAAACAGAATGCAGCCCAGCACGCTTCCCTGAGGAATAGAACCAGTGATAGAGATGACATTTGATCTGGCATGCTCAATTTCGCCTGTATGAAAGTTAGTGTTTTCAATTTTAACGCATTGCGATCGGTTTTGAAGATATGATTGAAAAAGCTAGGCCTCTCCACCTCTACACCAAGATAATAGAGCTTGTCGAGTAATATTTTATAATTTACTCTACCGTATGCCTTACTCATATCGAGTAGCAAACCCACTGCGTATTCTTTGTTGTTAGTTATGTTTAATATTTTCTGAACGTACTTGTATAAGGCAAATAGATCGTGGTTCTATTTTTACGGAAACCATATTGGCTGTCATGGAGAACTTTAAACTTTTCAAAAAATGCAATGAGTCTTTTTGACATCGCAGTCTCTATTACTTTGGCCGATGTAGGTAATATATTTTAATGAGTCTTAAAATAAATATTTCTTGAGTTTCTTTACCAGTCTTGCAATATCCATAGGTCGAAAGCTATCATACGTGATGATATTTTTCGTTGCTGACCGAATTTCGCTCAGACACAATATCCAGTGTGACTTGCACAGATATCAAACATTTGAGATTAGTAATAATATTGGAAATTATATTTTTATAATAATAATAACGTACACACTCAAACCCTGGGTCGCGGGTGCCATGGACACACACGTAGACAACCACAAACTACACCCAAACTCATGAGAGAAATAAATGTAGGCTATACAAATATTTCACCCGGCGCAGGAATCGAACCTGGGACCTTGACGTGGCAGTCCGGCAGTAACCATTCGGCCACGGAGGCAGTTAAACAATTTTAACCACTTATTGGTTGACGACTTTACAGTCTCAGACAGCCGTGACCATGGGACCTGTAAGGAGCTTAATACTTTAGTTGAAAATTCGAAAAAATAGTTCCATTTCCAATTTCGAATAAAATATTATTTTTTTTCTATATCAAATGTCTCTCCTGTCTTTAGTAGGTGCGATTTCACTCAGCACTTTAAATCGCGTTAAAGACCCGAGGAGCGCTGCCAGTGCGGTCGTCATCATGAGACGTAGTTGACAAGTCTCTGTAATTATGGTAAGTTCACCAGCACCATTACGCTATAAAACCGGAATGCAGTAATGCTCACATTACAGCTTGGCGGCAGGCATATGTAAGCAAGGTGGCATTATTTCCCTGTGCGAACTCTTTCTCAAGGAGCTTTACTGCTACTAGTAGTTTATTATGCTTTGTACAATTTCATTACAATAATTGTATACCGTTCCGTGGCAATGTAATTTGAGCCCAAAGTGTTTGTGTATAGAGAATGTTAAAATTCAAAATTGAAATCATCTTTATTTCATAGGTAAGCAAATTACATTTGAAATCGCCATATTAAGTAAACTCTACTGCTCATTCGTAAGGCAGAGTCCCCTGAGAAGAATGAGTAAGAAA